GCGGCGGCCGCGGCCTCGCCGTCGTGGTCCTCGAGGCGGTCGAGGTGCTCGTAGACGTCGAGCGCGCGCGAGTGGAGGTCGCCGCGGGACGCGTAGGAGTGGAGCGTCTCCTGGACCTCGACCGCGATGGCCTCGACGGCTTCGGCCGACGCGCGGCGGAGCCGGACGCGCGCGGGCGCGCCGAGGGACCGCGACGCCGGCAGGGGCGACGCGACGGGCGCGACGCGCGCGACCTTCATGGACATGGTGCGGATGAGCCGCGCGGCCCTGGCCCGGAAGACGGAGGGCAGCGGCCGCGACGGGTCCGCGGCGCGATTCGCCGTCGCCGCGACGGCGTACGTCTCCTCCGCGCGCGAGAAGTAGGACGAGTTCACGCGCAGCGGGCTCGTCCGCGCGAGCGACTCCGGCGGGACGACCTCGGCCTTGAGGTCGTCGAGGGCGAGGGGCGCGACGCGCGACGGCCGCCGCGGCGACGCCCGCGCGCGCGCGGGCGGCGTCCGCGGGCTGTCGACGCCGTCCCCAAAGGGCGGGACGGCGTCGACGGTTTTTGTTCTTGCGGGCTCCGCCGCGACGGCGGGCTTGCTCTTGCGCTTCACGCGGCCCTTGATCTTGTGGCCGTCGTCGTCGGACGACTCCGACGAGTCGCCGTCGCGCTCGCGCTGTTTGCCGTGCGACGAGTGGAGCGCCTTCGCGTTCTCCCGGAGGCGCCGCGCGCGGCTCGACGACGACTTGACGACCAAAGCGACGACGCAGGCGACGCCGACCATGGTGACCCAGGAGATGATGTGGAGGATCAACCCCGGCGCCGCGGCGTTCGCCTCGTCGAGCGGTCTCATGAACTTGGCCAGCGCCGGGTCGCGGACGCCCAACAGCACGAACATGGCCGCGATAGCGATCATCTCCTTGACGGCGACGGCGCGCACGCTCGGCCACATGAAGACCATGGTCGTCCCAAAGGTCACGACCGCCGCGTGATAAAACGGCCTCCGCCACCGCGTGTTGTCCGCGACGAGCCGCGCGCCGCCCCAGGCCTCCTCGACGCCCTCGATGGCCCGGAAGTCGTCGTCGGCCCGCGCGTCGCGCGCGACGTCGTGCTCCTCGACGAAGGCGTCGCACGCGGCCTCCGCGGCGTCGAGCATGGACCGCTCGACGTCCGCCAGCGTCCGCGCGCCGGGCGTCTGCGGCAGCTTCTTCCGCACGAGGCGCGACGCCGCGCGCTGGTCCTTGGACAGGGGCGTCGCGTGCGCCGCGGCGCGCAGCCGCAACGGCACGGCCACGCCCACGCGCTTGAACGCGTTCGCCGCGCCGGGAGCGACGAGCGCCGACGGCGCGACGGCGAGCGGCGTCCGGTGCGGCACGGCCAGGGGCGCCGGGTCCTCGAAGAAGGAGATCTTCCCGTGGAGGCTCGCCGGCACGAAGAGCTTGAGGATCAGGATCGCGAAGGGCTCCACCACAAAATTGTGGTAGAAGATCCAGAACATGG